TTCATTACCTCCATTAATTCTCTTATTTCTCTGTTAGGTTTCTGTCTGATTGACCTGTCCATTGGTGAGAGAGGAGTGTTGAAGTCTCCTACTATTAGTGTGTGTGGTTTGATGGCTGCCTTGAGTTTTAGCAATGTTTCTTTTATGTATGTGGGTGCTTTTATATTAGGGGCATAGATATTCAGGATTGAGACTTCATGCTGATGAACTGTTCCTGTTATGAGTATAAAATGCCCCTCTCCATCTCTTCTGATTGATTTAAGTTTGAAGTCAACTTTGTTAGAAATTAGTATGGCCACACCCGCTGGTTTCTTAGGTCCATTTGCTTGATTTTAACTACTCATGGAATCAACTTAAGATGATACTTATATTTTGAGACATTGTGTATTACATGTGATATAATTCTTGTAAATATACTGTAAAACTCATTCTCTTACTCATTCATCAATTTTAAATTATTTGTGTGTGTGTGTGTATGCATGCACACACACACACACACACACCCATCAAGGTTAGAGGACAACTTAGTTCTCTGCTTCCACTGTGTGGTACCTGGGGATGAGACTCAGGTTGCCAGGCTTGGGGACAAGTGACACTACCTACTGAGCCAGCTAAGTAGCCTTCTCACATAAATTTATTTTGCAAGCATTTTTATGTTCCTATTTGAATTTTTGGCTATTAATTTGTACTGTATGCTCAAAATTACACATTAAAATACAACAGAACCAGGACTAATAATCTGATCCGAATTGTTACTTTTCATATTGTACCCAGAGTCCAAACTTTTGACATTGTAACATGTCATCTGTAAATGTATTGGGCCACATTTATAGATGTTTTGGGACCCAAACATGTTCAAGGGAGTGATGTAGCAAGTGCAATTATCCATCGAGTTTATGCCAGCTGTAGCTATCTTGTTATACGATTACTAAGCTGTTAATTTATGACCTTGGTTTTAAAAGCTGAGTTTTAAAATAGTGTACTGTGTTCCTCTCTCTATAGGCAATGGTTCAGTTGCTGAGGGAGATATCGAGTAAAACAAAACCTAGTTACTCCCCTAAATAAAGGGGCTGATAATCCAATGAAGAATTTAATACTTGAAAATGAGTGTCTTGGAAAATCTGAATGTGTGAAATGTAAAATTGGGACTAAGTAAGTGTGATGAGCACAGAGGATAGGGGTTAGCTTGGTCAGAGAGTCAGAGGAAACAGGGTGGGGAGGGGACGGTTTCTCAGAACGTGTGGCCATTCAGTGGGACCTTGAGTGTTGAAGGCAGCACATACAGAGAGGGGGCCTTGCAGCTGGGACCTGCAGAGTAAAACAGTGTACGGGCTCCAGAGATGCTAAATAACGGATGAGTGTCTGCTTGACATATTAAATACCTTTGCTGTCCATAAAATAAAGTTTAATAAGCTGCTCTTTAAAGCTAACAAAACAGCGAAACCTCCAGGGTCCTAGAACATTAAAGCATCTTTGTTTCCATCTAGGAAAATGGAATCAATTGTCATTTTTTTGACTTTATGACTTTTAACCCTTTGAGAGTACTGGTTGCACAGTCACTTCTCAATAATCTCTGAAATGAATTCAGCCTGGTGAAGAACTCATTGCTCAGGCAGTTTCCTACAATAGAATTGCATCAGCTAGGGACATTTTATTATTCTCATAGAAATGTGTGTGTGTGTGTGTGTGTGTACATGTGTGTATGCATGTATGTATTCCAGAGTAGTTACTAAATTTGAGACTTAGGCTCAAATGAGACTTCGTATTTCTTTTCTGTTCTTTCTAAAGGGTGAACACTTTGAACGTGAAGCTATGCTCCCACATGGCATGGCTTCTCACACCACTGGTGCCTGTGCAGCAATTTTACTTTTAGGCACTCTGGGGGGCTAAATTTTCTAAGAAAAGTTTTACAACTTATGTGATTCAAGGCTGTTTGTGCACAGTTCCACGGGAGCTCAGGGTTTGGCTATGCCGGATGTTAATATAGTGTGCACATACAGCTAGCGTTTAGGATTGTTGCGGGGCAGGGTCTCCTTGTGTCACAGCTCACAGGGTATCCATTTCTGTTCTGTTTCTGGCTCTCGTGTGTTGGGATTATTGGTTTTCTCTACTCTGTATGCTTCTACCCTGAGTTTAACGTTTTACCTTACCTTGAATAGATAATAACTCTGTGAGGTAGATAGTAACTCTATGAATTTTGTATCTCTCATTTATAGACAAGGGCCCTGAAACAATAAGATACACTTACATAGCCAACATCCCATAACGAGCGTACCGTGGCTGGCATTTGCCTCCCACATCTCTGACTTGATGGTTCCGCATCATCTCTCGGGCCTGAATCTGACCCTTGGTCAGCTATGAAGTTGTGTTTTAAGCCCTATCTCATCACAGATTCTGAGACTCTGGGGCATTTCCTCTGTGGGTATTTCAGACTTTTTTGCTTTCCATAATTGCAGTCTTGATAGAAATAAGAATTTTAAAACTTCTGAACACTGCGAGATGAAACCAAACAGGCTAGGGTTTCCTCAGGGTCCTGAACTGGGGACCTTGACCACTGCGGCCCTGCGCTTGTATGTGGACCCCGAAGGCCTGAATTCACTGCCATCTGATGAACAGACATCTAGATCTTGAAAGAAAACATGGGTAGGACATCCAGTAGTAGGAAAAGTAAGGAAGACACTAAAAATGGACAAAGAAAACAGATGGAGGTTGGTGTATAGAAGGATTTACTGTGTCCTAGGTTTTGCTTTTCTGCTGAGAGACACCGGAGCAAGGCTGGCAACTCTGGTAGCAATGGCTCACTTTTCTGTGACCCCGGAAGGATTTGTGAGAGAATGGTGGTTTTGAGAGATCTTTGAAGCATTTCCAACAAGGTGCTAATTGTGGTTGTAGTTTTCCTTTCTCTTTCTACCCTCCCCTTTTCGGAGGTGGTAGACTGTGGCCTTCCAGGTGCACTCATACTTCAGAATGAGATGTAGTCAGAGTGCGTCCCAACCTTCCTAACCCTATGTGACCGCCGTGGCAAATATGATCCCACCAATTCCAAACTTGGAAAGTTGATGGGGAATTCCACAGGCTATTTATGCCTTTTTATACTTCTTATCTTTGAAAAGCAAAGTCAGTTTATATTCGGGTTCTGCTCATACTTGTCTTTAGAATAGGCGTCCCTGGTGTTTGTTCTTGTCTGAAAGTGAATGAATTCTAGAATTTAACTGGCGCTTTTGCTCCCTGCTTCTGCTGATGCCTTCCTTTGATGTTTGTTTTCAGGATACCTCGAGGACAGTTTTGTTAAATCCGGAGTCTTCAATGTATCAGAGCTTGTGAGAGTATCCAGAAGTAAGTAAACTGTTTTCTTACTGCACAGTACACAGAATGATTAAAATCTTGTGTATTTTAAATCTTAAATACAATGCAAAAAGTAACTACATTGAAGTATTGGAGTTTAAAATTCAAGATTTAAAGCAATCTTAAATTTTCTAATGAAACAAGTGAGCATTTTAATTTTGTAAAATATTTTCATTCAATTCATCAAAGCTTTCCGTGGTATAACACTAATGTTTAGGCTGTTCTTATTGGTCATCGTATCGGTATTCATTCAGTTCGGTTCTCTCCGTGACCATAGATGGGCATTTATATCAAAGGAAGCGTGATTAATTAAATGTACTCGGTGTTGTTATGATAGCCCACATCGGTTTCCTGTAGATAAGTGCTTTTTCAGTTATAATGCTGTGGTGGGGGTTGGAGACATGCAGGATATACACGTTCACATGCCCTGTGTGAAGGGATGCAGAAATTAACTTTGCAGATTGTACTCGGATATAGATAGAAAGCATTGTTGTCCCAAACAATGTCCAATTGTCTACCCCAGCCACCTCACCTGAGGTACTGTGCTCGGCCGGCCGGATTGGGTTTTCCTAGGGTAAACTCACCTGGCGGGCCCCTTAAGCCAGGGGGAAGCTCTGATTAACCAGCTCTTGTTCTGTTGCTGGTGTAAGTCAATCCATCCAAAGTGCCACTATTACCGCACTGTGGCGTGCAAGGAGGGGGCTGCTTTCTTCCCAACCCCATCTCAGATTTGTTGGATTGTTCACGTCACTTTGAGGGCCGTGTTTCTACTTCATGTCTTGATAGACAGTGTTGTAGTCTGGAACTGCTGTCACTTCGATGGTCAGGTGGCACTCTAGTCCTTGTCTGTGTTCATCGCCAGTCCTCATGGGCACACATCTGTAATCCTGGCACTCCAGGGCAGAGGCAGGAGGATTGCAACAAGTTTGAGGCCAACTGGGCTACATAGCTAATTCCAGGCCAGCCAGGGGTGTATAGCAAGGCCTTGTCTCAAAACAAGCAAAACTCCAACAAACAACACCAACACTGCCTTTTCATTTGTGTAACTCCAGAGTTTCTGAATGAGGGCCATAGCCAACTGTGAAGACAGAGATAGTGAGCCTAAAGGGTTAGACTAAGCAAGGAGCTGCAGAGCCCTGTCTGAGAACTGTCTCTCCAAGCTTCCAAATGACTGTCTTTTGAACCATAGTTTCCCAGATTTCTGAACGTTCCAGAACAAAAACAAAACAAAGCCTGTTTATCAGAGAAGGACACAGGACCTTATATACCTTGTCTCTCCTGCTAGAATTCAGAGTGGATAAAGGCGTCATGGGTCCATTAAGTTGGGAGCAGCATCAGGGATGGCTGTATATCCCTGCAGCACTGGTGTGGGTACGTGCTGTGCACGAGCCTCCTGATGCTCTAGTCTGTCATCCCGGGCCACATGTGATTTTCAAGAAACCCTTGCCCCCAAGGAACAGGGTATTTGAGGTTGTTCCTCAGTGAGTCTGAGTCGTGAAGCTACGGGGCATAGGAAACTATTTTCTTGACTTGCACCATTTTAAAAGCTCAGTCATGGATTTTGTACCTTCCCATGAGAAGGCCAGTAGAGCCATCCTTCAGAAAAGATTCACATTGTACCCCATTGTAAATAACACCATGCCGAGTACTGTCAAAGGAGAGCCACTTTGGGAACTTCAAGGGCCCAAAATGATATCTTGAAAAATTGACATTTCAAACATAAAATGTAAATTAAAAGTACCTTCTCATAACATTTCAGAAACAAGGTAAATTTGGACGTGTTTCATTCATTCTTAATTCATACTGTCACTTCTTAGAGGTTTTTAAGTTATGTGTCATAACAAACATTACTGATTTGTAATTAGTACATTAATTATCCATATTCATTCCTTAGTTAATTTATTCAGCAAACATTTACTTTCTCCTCCATATGTAAATAGATGTCTCTGAGATGCTTGCAAGCCCTATTCTCCTAAGCGTTTTAATATATTCGTGCTACAACCTTGTTTACACAGTTGAACCTCATTGTTTATGAAATAGGGGTTTGTTAAGTCAAGCTTTCTGCACAAGCCGTCTGTCGTGTGTCACAGGTTCTGGCTTCTTGATTCATGACCTGCCCCTGGTTCCAGCCTCTAGCATTTACGGTCATGTGACCTACTGATGTACATGTTGACTTTAGCTTAATGAAGCCATTCAGTTTCAGGATAGTGATGACTCTGTCGAATTATATTTTCTCCAGTTTACAAGTTGGTTAAAAACAGCTTCTGGTGTCTAAAAACTTTCAGTAGCCAAGGTTCTTGAGTGCCTGGCTTCTCGGAGGGCTTCAGCACTTCCAGTGTGCTTTTGCAGACATTGGCTTTCTTAGAGCTCTGTCTGGAAGAAGTGCTAAGAGGCATGTTTGCGTCTGCAGTGGGCTGTTCCAGAGACTTAGTTTCAGAGAGATCCTGGCAGACTTGCTCTTCTCCAGTGCTCTTGTGTTGCTCAGGAAGTTGTGGGCTGTTTGAAGGTTTTGGTCATATTTACTATTAGTTGACTTTCTTTTCAGTAACCTCCCCTTTACTCTCAGAACGCACACTAAGCTTTTGAGTGTTTAGTCTGGGCCCCACCACCTATCCCTGTCTAGCCTGGACTTGCTCTGTAGACCAGGCTGTCCTTGAGTTTATAAAGAGCCACCTGCCTCTGTCTCCTGAATGCTGGGGTCAAAGGCATGCATCATCATGCCTGATCCATTTACTGCACACTAATTATCCCCTGCATGCTTCTGGCCATACACACTGTAGTGAATATTAAGCTATCTATATGCAATAGGAAGAAAGTTGCCCAAGTACTGTACAACCTTAATACCTTCACCAAAATGTTTCGAAAAGTTAAGGCATGTAAAATTCTAGTCATTTTAGCCAAACATTGTAAAATAACCCAGGTTTCTGAGGTGGCCACAACAAAAAGCATGTTTAGTGGAGAGTGATACACACAGAGTCACACTGGAGACTTCATGTCGCTTGTCTCTTCTGACAGATTACTGGATCAGGCAAGAGTGCGACCACAAGTCTAGTGACACAGGTCATACTTGCGTCTCCGCAGGAGGGAGTAATCCCAGTCTGAACAGTCTGAAGTTGATACGTCTCTATTGTCGGAGGCAGGCAGATTGTTCATGTTCTCAGAGACAATCAACTATCCACTTCAAACACATACGTGCTTCTCAGGCCACACAGACCTAGGATCTACGTATAAATTCTAAAGCATGTGGTTATTGGGTCATAACAAATTCCACCTTTTTAAACTTCTGGCGTATTTCGGGCCACAGCCAAACATCAGTATCGTAGCTGTCTAAATAATTTAAATAACAATTATGCTCAGCATAAAAATATTTTCTGTATAAAGAGGGTTTAAATATATGGACTATGGACTAATTTAACTGAAACAATTAACCACTTAGCAGAAGAAGACAGGGGCTGTGGCAGTCTGGAGCTGAGACTCTTCCTGCGGGTATAGATTTGCTGTATTTCAGTGGAGAAATCTCTCTACAGTCCGTGGTTAGTTCTCTGCGGTGAAGCACACGCCTTTTAATCATACTTTCCTAAGAACATTTGAAGTTAGTCTCGGCCTGACAGGTATTAAAATCCAATCAAATGGATAGACATGCACTTTAATGTTATGAAAAGCTCTGGGTGAGGAGAGAGTCTTGAAAATTAACCACCCTCTGTAAGCCCACATTCAGCTGCGGGCAGATAGGAGAGGCTGTGGCCTAGTGGATTGTGTGTCCGAGTGGATTTCAAGGGCTTGAGGAATCTATCGCCAAGTCCCCAGTGCACTCTGAATGGAGCTACTGAAGGCTTGAGGGTTCAGCTGGCCGCGCACACTGCTGCCTAGTTCTTCACTTTATATGTCGTCTCTATTCTTGACTCCACTCCTACAGCCGTGGCAGTTTGGGCAAATCTTCCTCTGTTGTCTTGTTCCTTCTCCAAAGCCCACTTCAGATGGCTTTTTCATAGTTTTTGTTTTTGACCATTCAAGTCACTGCTTCCTTTCTTCCTGCAAAACTTACAGATTGTGATCGTTATGCTACGGACTGGGGCAGATTTCCTGCTATCTACACTGCTGGGGTATTTTTATGTTTGCACGAGTGTTTTGTTTGCTCTATGCACTGCTTTGTATGTTACTCAACCTGTCTCTGCCTCCCGAGTGCTGGGATTAAAGGCGTGCACCCGGCTACCACGACTTTTTTTTATCTCCAAATAACCTTCTTGCTAAGTTTCTGTCTTATTGTGTGCAAACTGAAGCACATTTTGTGTAAGTGGCAGAGGGTTTGGACGGAAAGTCTTATTATTTTTAGACTCCAGCCTATGGGTAAAGATACAATGGACAGTCATTTCATTTATAAAACCTTCCTAAAGGTGAATTTGCAAAACAGTTTGAGTTTTATTTCATATTCATAAGTTTTACTCATCCCTGCCCTAACTCTAGATTTGCTTCAATCAAATTATGCATATTATGGTTTTGTTTGAGACAGGATCTCACTGCATTATCAGACTGGCCTCAGACTTGCTTCATAGTCCAGCTTCGCCTTGACTTCTCTGTTCTTCTGCCTTAGCCTCCCCAGTGCTGGGATTACAGGTGTATGCCACCAGAACTTGTAACCATCATGGTTTTTATTTCATTCTAATGTTGTTGTTAGAACTAATATAGGATATCTTGAATCTTTATTTATGAAATATATATGTATATGTAATGATGATTTAGTTCAGTACCAAGCATATCATTTGGTTTTAGGTGATAGGAGTCATTTGTTCTGCTCTGCCTACGTCTATAAGCTGGGGAATGACAGATGATGTAGTGATTTCTAATATGGGGGAGTATATAAAGAAGATTGGGTAGGGTGAGGAGGGGGAGTGGTAGCCAGGGATCTAGTCTGAATGTGCAGAATAGCCAAACTTGACTAGAGGATTTGGGGTTTTGCCTGTCGCATACAAGGAATAGCACATCTGCAGATAAGGAGAGCTCTTGCCCAGAGCCATGAAAAAAAAATTAGTGACTTTCTATCTGAACGGAGATAATCATGAACAAACACTTACAACATTTCTTTTAAAAAAATTTATTCCTCAGCACCCATAACCCAGGGAACTGGAGTCAACTTCCCAATCGGAGAAATCCCCAGCCAGCCATACTATCACGACATGAATTCTGGCGTGAACCTGCAGAGGTCACTGTCTTCTCCACCGAGCAGGTAATGGTACTGCTGCTGCGTGTGTCCTCACCCTTTATGTATACAGTCAGGCGGGGAAGGAGAAACACCTGTCTACTGGCGGTACACAGACTTCGCGGGCATTTGTTTTGTTAGTCATATTGTTTTAATATGCATATTGAAGGTAATTGCTGTTCAGAGCACCTTAAAAGTCTCTGAGGGAGGGGTTGGAGATGAACCATGAAAAGATATTAATGAGAGTTTGTCTTTTGATATGAAATAGAATTCTGCATCTTAATCTTGGCAACTTTAAAAGTGATACTGGGAGTTAGAAAGATGGCTCAGTAGCTAAGAGCACTGGTTGCCCTTACAGAGGACCTGGGTTCCACTCCCAGAACCCATATGGTGGCTCGCAGCCCTGTGGAAACTCCAGTTCCAGGGAGTACACCATTTGCTGACTTCCATGGATACCAGGTGTGCACATGGTACACATACAGGCAAAACATTCATACATATAAATAAATTAAGAAAAATAACACGTAGGTGATACTGCTGCTGCGAGGCCTCGCCCTTAGCCAATGCATCCTGGTAACTTCACTGTGATGCCACATCTGCGCTGGAGATAATGGAAGATGAAAACAGTGTCATTCCCCTAGCCATAAAGATAAAGCTGATTTGAAACTGCAGTGTTCATTTGATTGAGATTTTCTGACTAAGTCAGCTAGCTCTTCTGGTACCCTTGAAACCCTCAGCTGCTCTGAGACTGGCTTAGTCAATGTTTTCTTCCTCTCCTACCCTTGTAACTGTCCTTCAAGATAGCCATTACAGATGTGGGGTGTTTCCTTTTAAGCTGTGTCCTTCATGTATGAAGACCTGTTTCATTTCCAGAACATTCAATACAGCCACAGGGGAGCATAATGTACACAGATTCCAAAAAACAAGCATGCATTATGCTAATTTTTAAGAATAAAAGACAGGCTGGGCGGTGGTGGCGCACGCCTTTAATCCCAGCACTCGGGAGGCAGAGGCAGGCGGATCTCTGTGAGTTCGAGACCAGCCTGGTCTACAGAGCTAGTTCCAGGACAGGCTCCAAAGCCACAGAGAAACCCTGTCTCAAAAAAAAAAAAAACCAAAAAAAAAAAAAAAAGAATAAAAGACAATCTGGGAAAATACTTTTCTAGATTCTTTTCAGTAATGGAAGCTAATTGTCTTTGGATAGTTGTGAGAATATCCATATTTGTGTTTATAAAGTAAGGTCTATTTTATAACATTGATGACCCAACTGTATTTTCATATAATTAGATTGTATATCAATATAATTGGGTTTATTATCACTGAAATTATCTCTTAAAAGTGCTTTAATTTTTCTAAATTTAGAATGTGAATTATGATTTTTAAATTTCCTCCTTTGGATCCATATGTTGTCAGCACAGGTCTTTCATCCTGGCCGACCTTTGTCCTTCAAAATAAGCAGAGCTTAAAAACATTTCTCTGTTGCTCCTTGTAGAAATAAATTTTCCTTCATTTTTTTTTCATACTGCTGCTGACTCATAGTGGAAGAGAATTACATTAATGGGAGAACTTAAAAAATATGCCTAAGCTCTCCATTTGGATAGTTTTGGTAGAGACGAAAGCAATGGTATCATTTCTGCTAAGCGTTAGCATGGGGAGAAGTTGTCGTGTTCAATCACGTCAGTACTCCGGGGATTGTCAGGCCACAATTAACCACACTCTAACTACAAGTAAACGAGATGCGCTCAGGCTTCAGGGTTTAGGCATGGAGCCCCCTGGCTGGGAGACATTCCTCCTGGTGTGGCCCCTTCTGTTCACTTGTCCTGAGCAAATTCACCGCATTTCTCCAGATTTGTTCCCCCGTTTATTACAAATGGGGACTTAAGGTTTGCATGCAATTTTTTGAGATAATCTACAGTCACAAACTTTGGTGACATTACATTTATTAACAGCGCATAAAATTAATTCAGGTGATATTTTGTGGCTGTTGCTTAAGAACATAGGTTCAAGTGGAGACTTCTTTATGTAAAAGACAAGAGTCTTCATTCCAGAGTCAGTAATGAGATGTTTACTGGGGTACTGGTTGGGGCGTACCAAAGCAGAGGATCCAAAAGGATCATTCATGTCATAAAACAGCTTTTAATCTTCGCTGTAGGTACCCACTTTTCTGTGTAATAAGGTCGTGTTTTTCCACTCAAAGTATTTCCTAAACACACACCATTTGATTGGGCAATAATCATTTTTCAGGTTGATCTTATGAATAAAGAACTAGTAGGCTAATTTCTCTAAAAAAAAAAAAAGAAAGGTAAAGAACATGGAATACTCACAACTAGTAAAGTTCTAGAAACGGTCTTCATGCTATTAATTACAAGGTCAACACTAATAATTAATACTTAATGAGTATCTTCAAACTGCAAGCCATTTAGCTGAGAGCCTTATGGTTATTCACTCACTTCATCTTCTCAGCCAAACCCTTTAAACTGGGTTTTATTATTTCCACCTTACAGGTGATTAGCTGAGTCTAGAAAGGTTGAGGAACCTGCTATTGGATCTAATAAATGACTTAGTCAAAATGAGGGATTTCTGGACCTGTTTCACTGCCCACTTCCGTTGCCTCATTCCCCAGTTAACAGTAAGGCATTGCCTTGTCTGTGGCCAATGCTATCAGCAGTATGAATATCAAAAACATAAGATGACTCAGTGAACCTTGACAAAGTTTCAGCGTTAGCAGAAGAAACACATTGAGAGTTCACTTGTAGTAACTGAAGTTTCTCTGAAAGAAACCTGAAAATGTAATCATACCAAACATTTTTATTAGGTAGGAATAGGGATAGATGGTAAATATAAGAATAGGTAATGTGTGTGTGTGTGTGTGTGTGTGTGTGTGTGTGTGTGTGTGTGTGTGTTGGATATATATAGTGAACTGAAATGTTCACTATTCCTATGGATGTCTTGGATGCTCACCATTCTGCCATTCTTTCAAACTGTCACTTCAACTAGGATTTATGGACATTGTTTTTTCTATTTTTTTCTTTTTTCTTTTTTGAGGCAGGGTTTCTCAGTAGCTTTGGAGCCTGTCCTGGAGCTAGTTTTATAGACCAGGCTGACCTCGACCTCACAGAGATCCACCTGCCTCTGCCTCCTGAGTGTTGGGATTAAAGGCCTGCACCATGACAGCCCCACTGGAAGCCATTTGTGTGTGTGTGTGTGTGTGTGTGTGTGAATACTACATATCTTTTCAGGAATACTATTAATGCCATTATCATTCTATTTTAACAGCAAAAGACCCAAAACTATATCCATAGATGAAAATATGGAGCCAAGTCCTACAGGAGACTTTTACCCCTCTCCAAATTCACCAGCTGCTGGAAGTCGAACATGGCATGAGAGAGACCAAGGTGGGTAAGAAGACGCCTCGAGGGCATCCGAGTCTATGTAATATTGCCTATTTTATTTAGTCACCATTTCCTAAAGTGTCAATATGGACTATGCTTGAAATCATTTCACTAAAATTATTTTTAAGATAATTTTATGAAAGTGGTCAAATGCTACCAAAGTTTCAAAAATCCTGTTTTATTATATCTTATTTTTGGATGAGATGGTCTTTCAGAGACCGTGACCCTGTATGCAACTGACTTGGGCCCATCTACACTATATGGTAGAATCTCAGCAGAGTGGCAAATTCAGACTCAGGAGCTGCCATTGATCTCTCTGTGAGCATGTAGGGAGGAGCAAACCAGGCAGCCAGCCGTGTGAGATACTGAGAATTCTCACTTAGAGGAAGCTGTCGTTCCTTCTGGAAGTACAGCACAGCTAACAGATGGAGTAGGGACTGTGTCTACGTTAATATAGTTGCTGCCTACGGAGACCTATGGCCCATGGCTAGGACAGTCGAGGAGAATAACTTTATATAAATCTGATTTAACTTTCAGGGATCTGACTTGATCTTTATTCTTGAAATATATAGGATTTCCTGTGTTTCTCCTCGTTACATAACACATATTTATGCCTTTGTGCACAATAAGGAGATATTAAAGGGAAGAGAACACACAAATCAGCTAGCTACAACTTTGGTTTGTTTGTGCTGTGCAAATAAGTTTTTATAGTATTTGTAAGTTTCTTTTATATGAAATTCTGTGTGTTTAAAAATATAGACGGGATGTGTTCTTCACTAATGGTGTGCAGCCTAGGACTCAGGCCTGTGTCTGTGGGCTTGCAGAGAAGTCCGACAGCTAACCCTGGAACGTAGCATTTGTAGCCAATGTCACTTCCTTGCCAGGGTTTCCTTCTTGCTCCTCAGAATTTTATCTTGAGTTACACAGGATTTCTAGAAGGAGGAGGCCTTCCTGGGGAACTGGATTAAGAATTGGATTGCCTTTCACATGCTGATTTCTTTTAAAAGATTTCCTGTTAAAAGATTTATTTATCTTTGTTATGTGTATGAGTGCTTAGCTTGTATGCATGTGTGTGTGTCATCTGGATACCTGGTGTCTGTGGAGACCAGAGAGGGCATCAGATCCCCTGGAACAGGAGTTGTAGATTGTTTGAGCTGCTATGTGGCTACAAGTATTCTTAAATGCTAATGCATCTCCCCAGCCCTTCTCTTATGCATTTAACTGTAAAGATGCAGGACCAGGCACTGAGGTGGGGAAGCCGTGTCAGAATGGTTATTTGTGCTGTGAACTTGATACCACTGATGGGAAAGAAAGTGGGAGGCGTGAGAGGTTCTTTTTTACAGAAGGGTTGGAAAACCAGTAGAGAGTTTGGGTTTTGAAACTCTCTGCGCATCCAGTCTTCAGGCAGTAGACAGGGTTTATCAGGAAGCAGTGTATCCACCTTCCGCTTCATCTCCATCAGTAACTTGCCAGTGCTGTCGGGAGAAAACCGTCAGTCCCACACTTGACCACAGGCTTTCACGCTGCTTTTCATGCCTACTGGCATCTGGGCCTATGGCTTCGTTTGGATTTTGGAATGCGATGCCCAAGAACTTTTTTAGAAACCATGCCTTCTGAAGTGGTCTTTCCTAGCTTTCTTCTGGCAAATTTCTTAACATCCTTAATGGCTCATCATCCACTGAGAAGTGTCAATCTAAATTCATTTTCCTGCTTTTGTGTATTGGTAGCCAGTATTACTCTTTCATTGTATTCATATTATATAATTCTGTATTTATATATTGTTTAGATGTATCTATACCATGGTTTTTGTTTTTTGAGATTTTTTTTTGTTTGTTTGTTTGTTTGATTTTCTTCAAGACAGGTTTCTCTGTGTAACAGTCCTAATTGTGTTTGAACTAGCTCTTGTAGACCAGGCTAGCCTCAAATTCAGAGACCCACCTAACTCTGCCTCCCAGGTGGTAGGATTAAAATAATGTGCCACCACCACCGCCCAGCTGAAGTCAACTGTTTTGACCATGGCTGCATTAGCACCAAAGGCAACACTGCTCCATAGTAGGGCCGTAGTAAACATTGATCAGGTAAATGAGACAATGATCGGTCAGCATCCAGTCTCACTAGCAAAGGCAAGAAATAACAGAGCTACCGAAGTGGAAGTAACCCTGATTGCTCTTTGGGCTGACTAGGGAGGGGGACTTGATTGGGGGAGGGAGAGGGAAAGGGGAGGCGGCTGGGGGGAAGAGACAGAAATCTTTAATAAATAAATAAATGAATAAAATAATAATAATAATAATAAAGCACAGCCCTTCATGCTTCAGTCCTTGTTTGACTGACGTTGCCACTTTCCTCTAAACAAAGCCGTATTTTCTCTGTCAGAAGCGATTCTGGGACAGATCCGAACGGTAGTAATGCCAGCACTGAGCACCTGTGGATGAGAGTGTTGCCGAAGTGTAGGTGTTCTTTATTGTAGAATGTCACTCCGCGAGAACTGATTTCCCTTCCGCTCTTCAGCAGAGCTAATCTCACGACGTATTGTAAAACATTTTTGAAAAGTAGAAGGGAAACTGTCATTCTTCCTCTTTGTAAAATCATTGCATTGTCTTGATGATTTTCTATTGTCAAGATGACTAACAATATCAGAGGAGGCTGGAAGAGCAGACTGGAGTAAGAGCAGTGAGGAATGTTCCTTCTCATGTGCTTAAAAGCACCTGCCACTTGGAATTTGAGAACTGGGGGTTTTGAATGCGCACAATAAGCCCCTGTGGGAAGAAGGCTTCAGCCACAGTGAGAAACCCAAGGACAGGACTATCTTCATAAACGTGCTGAGCCCAGCGTGGTGCTTCTGTTCTTAGAGAGAAATCCATTTCTTGCATTTTCAAAATCAAATGCCCCACGATTGTCCTTGGCCATCTTCACAGTGTCTCTAGGAATCTTGATCTGCTCTGAAGGCACTGTCTAGGGCACTGCTGAGTGAGCATCGCTTGCCAGGCAGCATCGGGCTAGCATCTCCCAGTCATTTTTCACACACTGTGGTACTCAACAGCACTCACTGGTTGATCATCACAGGCTGCTGTTTTTAATAGACAGAAATGCTAATATTATTATTCCCTGGGTATCTGCCTTAATATATGATTATTAGCTGCCTATTAACATCTTTTCTGGCCCCCTTTCAAAGCTGAATTTTGAAATGTAAGAATAGAAAGTAATAGGAATATGGACACTATGTTATAATATTTTATATTCCAAGGCAGAAATAAGGGATGCAATGTGACCAAGTTATTATTTCTTTTTTATCTTTAAAAGAATTTATACAAAACATTTGCCAGGCGGTGGTGGTGCACACCTTTAATCCCAATACTCAGGGCAGAGGCAGGTGGATCTGCGTGAGTTCGAGGCCAGCCTGGTCTACAGGATCTAGTTCCAGGACAGGCTACAAAGCTACAGAGAAACCCTCTCTCGAAAGAAAAAAAAAAGAATTTGTACAAAACATTCATACCAAATCTAGCTTTCATGTGCTGATGTAGACCTATGTAGTTTTTAATAATTTATTTTAAAACATTTTTATTTTTGCATATTAAAGACATAGTTGTATATTGCTTTTTCTTTTCAAAACATATTTTCCAATTTTAAAATTACAGTTTTTAACTTTGCAAAGGTAGACAAAACTATATTTAAACTAAATAGTATTTAAATGTTCGAGAGAGGAGTGTGTAACATGTTGATAGGAGTTAAATTTGTCAGTTATGATTCGAATGAAGGAGAAACTAATAGTGGGCATGAGGAACAGAGCAGTGACTGTGTTCCTTTCCTGAGGTCTGGCTAGAATATTCCCTTTCCTTAGTCTCCCCTGTAAGCCCCGAGGTCTGAAACTTCCAACTGCTGCATTTTCCTTCTTTTTTGGGGGGGGGGTCATGCTGAGGATACAGCCCAAGCACTGATGCTACTGTGCAAACACTCTACCCCTGAGCTACAGCCTCAGCCCTAAATATTTCTTTTGGTTGCCTTTTTCTTCATTAAGATCTTAATGATTAAGTTCATAAAACATGCAGGTTGGACATGTGTCTGATTCCAACATTTATCCACTAAAAGGTCTCTGGAGAACTTGTCTATATTTAATTGTATCTTCTTGAGTATATTGAGAAACTTTATTCCCTGCTGACTTCTCTTGAAAGGACTGGAACAGTGCTTTATAACTTGCAATGCAAGATGAAAATTCATGCATGTCATGGTTTTTTTTCTCTATTTCAGGTTAATTTCATGAGACTAAACCTAGTTGCATTCTAATGTCTAATAATTTAATAGATTGATTCATAGTTTACACGTTGTTGAAAATTTCTGAATGGAAAATTTCATGGCTTCTCAGTCTGATCAACAGTAAGGCAACTTGTAATCTTAGATAAAATATCAACATAAAGGACTTCTCATGTAGTAAAAGTTTATTAATTTCTATGTATTTAGGACTGAGATAATTTAACACATTTATCAATTTTATCATGTGACAATAATTTTTATAGGAAGTAGCCACACAAATAAGATTGGGAAAGTTGCTAGCCTTGGACCTGCTGGAGAGAAACAATTATTTATGAAAAAAGGTTTTTACCAAAAATAAATAGGTAAAGCAGGTTACAAATGATTGCCTTCATGCTTTGGTGCTAACTTACTTTTGAAATACCATGAGCTATAACTCTTTACACAAAATCAATATGGTGGAATCTTAGAAAAATTGAGACGGTTTATATACTGATACATAATTAAAGTTAGTTAAAAATTCAAACTGAACTTTTAAGACTATACAGGCATCATATTCTGATTACAACAAGTTCTAGAAAATACAATTACTAATTTTTTAAAAAGAATATTTAACAGCAGACAGTGTAGCTCAGTGGTAGGTAAGTGCTGGCTGAGCATACGCCAGGCCCTGGGTCCATTCCCAGCACCGCACACATAAACACAATGTCACCCAAGTTCTGATGCGTAAATAAGCCTCTCCAGTAAGTCTGTCTGAA